AGAGAGAGAGCGAGAGAGAGAGAGAGAGAGAGAGAGAGAGAGAGAGAGAGAGAGAAGAGAGAGAGAGAGAGAGAGAGAGAGCGAAAGAGAGATAAAAGAAACACGGTAAAGTTTTACAACGCAGTGTAGAAATCCAAGCAAACACACTCCCCAATTCTCTGACGTCTACGCGGTTACGCGGAAAAAATTATAAGTATATATACACATCGAAGACCGTTCGGATTTTCTGGCACGAAATACATTTTTCATGACAAACACTTCGTCGGGAAAATTGTTTCGAATTTTGTCCTAAAGTCGACGAGCGAACGAAAGACTGATAAACAAATCAGGGGATAAAGAGTTAAATAAATATTATACATATCAATAATCTTTATCTTTCAGATGAAAAGAGAGACGCGACGAGATGTAATCGTTCTCCTTTCCACTTAAGGTCACGGAATTACAGATTTGTGTACGATAAAGGCGGTGGGTGTGTTGGTTGGAGTATTAATTACGTACTAATTATCTGCAGGAATTATCATGTGTGTCCTTGATAAAAGCACGATCGCGTTGCGTGCGAAATAATTAAGGCATTAGCTCTGGCTTATTTTGGGCGAACATCGGGGTTTAATTGATGGCAATAAAATGGCTATCGATCTCGTTAATATGCATGACGACTAATGAGATAATTAGAGAGAGCATGCGAGAGAGAGAAAGAGAGGGAGAGGGGAAAGAGAGAGAGGGAGAGGGAGAGAGGGGGAGAAAGGGAAGAGAAACATAGAGAGAGTAGAGAGAGAGGGGAAGAGAGGGAAAGAGAGAGAGAGAGAGAGAGAGAGAGAGTAGAGAGAGAGAGGGAGAGAGAGAAAGAGAAAGAGAGGCGAGAGAGAGAAAGAGAGAAAGAGAGAAAGACCGAACACTCCTAATCTGAAACTTTATAGAAACAAAGGGATCATATCCACTTATCCTCTTATACGGTAACCAATCCTGATCGCTCTTACACGCGCAAACATTCCCCCGCCATAGGCCTACTTTCCTGCTCCGTAATCCACTAATCCGCCCAATGCAGCAGGAGTCGAATGTGATCGCGAAATCGGACAGTGTTTCTCCCGCTGCCGCTCAAAGCGATTAGCAATTGTCGCAATTATCCTCTCTCTCTCTCTTTCTCCTTGTTGGCAGTAACACCTGACGTAAACACACACACACACACACACACACACACACACACACACACACACACACACACACAGACACGGGAGGCAGGGGTGACATACGAGCGCGTCAGTGTGTGCGGCGCCGCGCACCCGGCACGCGCGTCGTAGAACACAATGGTCAGAGACGATTAGCGGTGAAACAAAAGAAAACGGTCGCGTGCGCGTGATGGAAGTCGGAGACGGAGTGAGGGGAAGAGGGGAGGCAGGGGGAGAAGGGAGAGAGCGACTGTCGCCGCACGAGCAGATTGCTCGGAGAAGAGATCAGAATGAAGGAACATCTGCGTGTCTCGCTACTCTCGCGGTAAGACACGTGCCGGCGGACACGCGCGGGGGAAGGGGAGGAGGAGGGGAGAAAGGTGAAGAGGGGAAGGGAGAGGTAGGTGGAGATAGAGGGAGGATGAGGGGGAGCGCAATAGAGGAAAGGAGGTGAGCGAGAAGGGAAGGCGAAGAAAGGGGCGAGGAGATGGGGGAGGATAGGCGGAGAGGAGAGGAGGATGCGGAGCAGAGCGAATAGGGGAGAGCAAGAGAGGAGGGGAGAGAAAGGGGAGGAGGAGGATGGGAGCGAGAAGGAGAGGGAGAGGAGGGCGAGAGAGAGTAGAAGGAGAGGAGGAACGGGGAGAGAGAGGAAGGATAGCGAGGCAGAGGAGGAGGATGAGGAGGAGAGGAGAGACGGGTGGAGACGAGGCGGAGATTGAGGGAGGGGGGGAGGGGGAGATTGAGAAAGGAGAGAGAGGGAGGGGGAGGAGGAGGCAGGAGCGAGGAAGGGGGAGTGAAGACGAAGCAAGAGAGAGAAGGGATGAAGGAGGGAGAGAGGCAGGAGGAAGAGAGGGGAATTGAGGGGAAGAGAGGGAGGGGAGAGAGGGGAGGAGGGGGAGGGGGAGGAGGGGGAGGAAGGATGCATTACCAGTGCGCTCGCGAGGTAATTATATAGACAAACGGAAATTATAGGATCGACATAATGACAAGAGAGTTCCTCTTCTCTCTCCCACCTGTCCGCACTTACACCGACACCTCCCCCCGTGCGTGAGCGCCACCTGTCTGTGATCGGCGCGCCCTCTACACGCGACCCGAGACTCGCTTTATGATGCTCGGATTGCAGTTTTTTTTTATTTGTTCGTAAAATAACAGATTTGAAGTGTTTACTTGTGTCGCCGTTAGATGGCGTTGAAGCCGTCGGTTACCCCGCGCGACGCGTCGATCAGATCTGTAGTAACTTTGCGTGTTAATTATCTCTAGCTATAATTACGCCGCTGATGCTACGGGTTTATGACGACACCTTTGATAGGGGCAATCATACCCCCGTGGTGTGAGCACGGTAAGGGGGGGGGCTGTTGCATGGGATAGTGGCACAGGGGATGTCAGCACGTATTCGTACATATATTTATGTTATATTATACAGTCAACATTTATCCTTATTCTAATTACATGCGTGTATAAAGAAAATGAAATTTAACTTCAGCTTAGTACTGCGTTTTATATACAATAATTCTTGTCTAAGCACTTTCTACTGCTACACTGAGCACTCTAATGATTTTCTATAAACTATCGTATCAAGAGCTAATAATACCTTAATTAGGTATTCCTAAATAGGTATTATTAGCTCTTGATCGTATGCCCAGTGCATTCACTTATGCATAAAGTTCCATGTAAATATACACGGGAACGGGACCACATAAAATTGACAATTAAGTTCAAATCAAAGTATCTAAATTCAACACTTACTGACAGGATACAGTTTCATAGTGCTGACCAAACTGCAGAACACGGGTTTAAGTTAGCTCCACTCAACTACTGACTGTTTCAAGTTGAACACGAACTTGCTACAACCAAAGAGTCTATATTAATATCAATATAGGCTCTTTGCTAACACTAACTGGCTTCTAACACTTACTCACG